TAGAGTCCTCAACCAAGGCCTTTGGTTGAAAAGCTTATCCGCAAGGTAGCGGGAAGGTGGGAATGGTCTGGTTTTACAAAAATGGACGTTATCGCATTTCAAACTCCCAACCTGGAGAACCAGAAGACTGAGTTTGCCTGACCTCTAACCACTGACCAACATGGTAGGAGTGGCTCACAAGGCGCTCCAGTATAGCTCAATGGGTCAAAGAGGGGCGCAAACCATGACACCAAGTTAAGGTGCAGTCGCGTTGCGAGCGGAATAAACGGTGATGCTGGGCAAACAGCGAACCGGACCGATGGAGAGAAAACACACATATGGATTTATATAGCCTCAACACACGGGTCCCATTTAAGTGACCGGATGACGTTTCATGGGCGACTTCGAGAGCAATCGCTTTGCTTTCGGTACAGATGATGCCAACTGTACCATACAAATGCATGATTGGAAACCAAGGCAAGCTCAAATACTACTGACGCATAGATGACGCGTATTGCGGTCACTGTGGTCTGTGAAACGAGTGATGGATCTGGATTACTGAATACTGAGAATAGAGAGTGAGAAGATAAAAATGTGTGTTGCGCCATCGTAGGTGGATCGGGCACATGCGCGGAATCACGGCGCTGATTCCTGCGCGGTGGCATCATATTGCAGCTGCACTACATCTTGTCCGGTTGCGATACGCTCCCTATACCTGTAGTCAGAAAAGTGGGCGTCAAGCATTCTCTTAAATGCTGACACCGAGTTCGCCTCGACTAGCGTCTCCGGCAATTTGACCCAATATTTCACCACTCGACGCTCGAAGCATAGAGGGTGAGCGATGTGCTTTAAATCCGGTACCACTAGTTTGTACTAGTGTCCGAGTGTGCTGCTTGGTGCGTAAACGTGCAGCAGCGGCTTCAACATAGGGATTGACATACGACATAATTTGCCGAGACCTGGGCCACCTAGATTTGTTCCGCTTCATACGCAACAGGTAGTAGTTATAAGCCTGAGGTGAAAAAGTGCAATCTGGCCGGCACGAGAACAATACACCAGTAAGCCGCCTAAACCTTGGTGGGCGATGTTAATTGGGTCTACCACTGAGTGTAAAGTGCGTGCGAGTAGAATGGTTATCGACAATACTAAATGGACATGGGCAAACCGAAGCAAGACAGTCGCATAGGGTGAATGAACTAATGGAGACAAAGTGCTGGACTTCACAGTTCAACTACCGTGATCTTCTGGAGTAACCAACGATAAGGATTTGTGAAAGTGATTTGAGTGTGGGTGGATATGCTAACTGTATTGTGCAAATGACTCAAGCAACTCCAGTCGTGTTAACCTCACGCGGCAGTCAGAAGTCAAAATGCATGACGCAATACATTGCGTTTCTAAATCACTGAGTGCGCAGAATGGAGCAGACTCAAATGAGCAGTACGGCGTTATCATTAAAGATCACTGGATGCTAGACGACATGGCATCAGTGCGTACGAGGCGAAACAGCACAGAAGCCACAGGTATCACACGCTAGGAGTAGTCGTAAAACTAAATAGCCTCAAAGAAAATTCTAAACGATGAGCGCTCCAAAGAAACAAAATCCCTTCGTTCAGATCCACAAAGCACAGTGTTGCACCTAGTCAGGTAAAAGTTAAATATCAGAGCAGCAGCAAAGTGTAACACAATCGCGGATCGAAATAGAGAGCATATGAAACCAGTACGGTGTGCACTGAGTAGAAGCACGTCAGTTTAACAGTGCTTCGATGCACTAAGTAATCGTTAAACAAAAATATATCAACAGTGAGGTGAGTGCGACTGCAGCTTTCACGTCACAAAAATGTGGCACCAATCGCATGCCGCGAATGGAAGAGAGGTCGCAAGTTTGCCCAAATCGATACAAGCACTGGGGTAACGGTGGGCAAACTGGGCGCATACAACGTCCTATATATCAAACTATTCGACAGAGAGAGATACGACGTTGCATACGGTGCACAGCTGAATCAAGGTTAGCAAACGGATAATTACGCCTGGTGATTGCCGTGAGCTAACCCACAAAGAAGAGCTGAGGAAGAAGTAAGGCGGCGTGAAAAGGAACGCAGTCGTTCAGAAAAACAGAAGTTTGCGGCCTCCTCGGGGGGATTGCTCTACTGGGCAGTATTGAAGGTGAAGACCACGGGCGAAGTCGAAGATTTGGTAATCGGAGAACAAGAAACATTACGAAAGACGAAACTACGGTAAGTAATAGAGATCAGATGGATTAAATAACAGGCAGTTGCAGTTTTGTGCAATTTTTTGGTCAGTCATGGGCGTAAAATCAATCACCAGGGTACGTTGTGGGAAAATTAGGGGTTCGGAGGAACTCGTAGAACACCGCTTGAAATCGAACAGGTACGTATTCTTTTGAAGATCTCATCACTGAAACTAACAGGACTTAACCAGTCCCGCCAAGGTAGTGTATTTTTGAGTCTTACAACACAGAACGTGATCAGGATTTGAATCGCTCGGTCTGTTCATCACATGCCACCTGAATCCACTTAGCATATGAATGAGGCCAGCCAATAACTAAGACGAGCAGCGCAGCTTGCAAGATAATCAACGCGTATAAGTATAAAGACGGCACTAGTCAAAAAACTGATTCTTGTTATTCTGGAAGTAGATCACCGCAGGTGACGGACACCGACAGGGGATATGGACGTAATCGAATCACGTCTAGTCGCGATAAAGTGGTGTAATGGAATATTCAGGTGGTAACTGCGGTCGTCATATGGAGAGCTGCCGGAATAAAATGCAGAGAGACGAAAATGCTTGAGCCGACCAATTTACTGAAAACAAAGAAAGTTCATGCATCAGCTGGATGATGACTCCAGTTGGGTCTAACACTATGAAATGAAGGACCCGCCATACGGGTAACCCAGAGTACGGAAGTCCATTACCAAGTTTCACCTTATAACAAAACACTAATGCGATACAAGCAGACGCTTGCGAAGACCTTATTTAGTCGAAACATTGGAATATGTTTGACCGATTGCTTAGTCGAAATATGGCTGAGTACCAACACACCGATTGTAAATGGCTAACCCCGGAAGTTCAACGAAAGTTACAGCCAAATCACCGGACTGAAATGTTCAGTGCCAACAATGCCTAAAGAGAATACATTTTTAGAGTCGCTCTTTAAAGGTGACATTGCTACACTGGGGACCAACAAGCGTTTGATCTTTGCCACGTAGAGCGCTTTCTACGCTGCCAAGGTATCATCATCATCCGAACCCATAACCCACCGTTGCCTCACCGTAGGAAACTCAGACTACCTGGACCCACTCCATTGCGTATTCCAATTTGTATATACCTGCGCAGCTAGTTACGCAGACAGAACCGATAAGGTTCTAACTTACCGAATGTAGCAACACGTGTCAAAGTGGGTTTAATGCACGACTACGCGACAGAAATGTTCAGCTCATACTACATGTTCACATAGGTTGCTAGTATCTTCGATTGATCTCAAGTAGTGACCTCAAGTCATCGGTTTCAAGTCAACATGGCACTCAAAGTTTTGGTGAGTCAAATCAACTGTATCTTTTCCATTTCGCTGGGGGGCTGTTGCGATGAGCCGGATTAAACCGGTGCGTTGCGTTCAAAAGTAAACATCGGCTAGCATTAGGTAGCCCCTTACGTAGGGACAGCTTCCGTTGTGCCTTTCGTTTACTTGTAGGGTTGGGGAATTGTGGACAAAGCGCGACTTTGTTCCAGTTAAGATGGGAGTGCTCCAAACAGCCAATGGACTCATGCAGATGGATGGCAAGAAGCAGCCATTGGAAGTGTACTTCAGTAAAATAGTGTTTCAAATTTACGCAGCATAAAATGACCTATAGTGCCTTAATAAGCGCATCTTGATCGCTTTCCGGTCTTGGTTTTGATTCTGGGAGGGCCAGTTCGCCACTCACTCTGATGGGAACTAACTGATGGTAATAAGATAGTGGCACAAGCTGAAATATACAACACTTTAGTGGAGTTGAGGAGGGATTTCGTGACCGGATTACCCACTGGTTATCAGGTAGGAGCGAACATCGGAAAGACCGCAAATGTACTTGAATCAGGATAGGTGTCAAAGATACTTCTTAATTAATTAGTCTGCATTGCTAGAGTTGGGCGCAGAGTGCTGCATGAGGAAGACTAACCGCATTTTATTGCGTTGAATGCAAGAGAACGCGAATCGAATACATGATGGAGTCAAACAAAATGCACGCCAGAATCTACCATGAGTCGTTAGCAGTACGCCGGCATACTGTACCGACATTTCACTGTCACGCGACCACCACCGTTCGCGCGTGGATTGAGCATACAGCGACGGCGCCCCTCCCTACGCGGACTTGAACCGGTGACCCAAGGACTACAAGCCAGGCACCGTCTAAGAAAACTCTACAGACCAGGACGTAGTTCAACTTCATTTGATCATATCAGGTGGAGATAGCAGACCTCGAACCCGGGACCATTAGAACAGCAGATGAAACCAAGTTCGCAAAGTAAGCGAAACCTCTCTTTCAGAGTGTTTGACATGAACTAAGTTCAACCTAGATACTAGTGGATAAAATTCGTTTCCCGAACTGAAGCTAACTCACGAGAGTGTCTATCCGTAGGTAGATTCAAATCCTCGAAACCATATGAGAACGTTGGATAGTACCATGTTCATCTTGACGTAAGAACCAATCATTCCACAGTACAAAAGGATACGGCTACAATCCGTGAACAAAAGGATGACAAAAACGGAATAACTCCAAGAGTTATTTGTTGCAGACGCAAACATTGCTGGAAGTCAGTGAGAATATACGTGGCTAATCGGAGACGAAAGTAACATACCGTGAGTAGACCGGTGAAGCAATAAAAACCGCACATTAGGATAAACAGTGTATAAAAAGCGACGGTGGAGTCGGACAGGTTAGAAGGGGGGGGGCAAAGACTATCCTAGAGGCGTGCAACAGAAAATAAAAACTAAGCTACATTGTGACTGTCTGAGATAGACGTACCCATCATAGAAGCTGTGCTGGATAACAGCATAAACGCAAAGGTAGAGCTTAGTAGGATCCAAGGGGAAAGGAGCTCATAAATGAACGAGCGCATTGGAGTGAACGTGTCCAACAGCGACGAAGTGCAAGACATACACCAGAATGGTAGTGAATTAAAGGGGCAGCAGCCAAATGGACGCCGAGTGCCCGCTTCCATCTCTACGTCATCGTCTGCATCATCACCGTCCAAGTCGTCCTCGCCGATACCTAAATCGTCGTTTCCATCTCCAACTCCGTCATCCACACCATCGTCTTCTCCACTCATTGGATCGGTAGAGGGAACTCTGTGATAGGCAGAGTCAGCGGGATCTAAGTTTGCTGAGAGTACATCAGCACCAGCGGCATTGTTTATGCGGGGCGATGGTGCACCCACCGAAGCGAAGCCAGTGGAGACAGTGTCCTGGAACCGCAAAGAAAAACAAGAGAAAACATTACGGATGGTAAGCAACGATGAAGAGAAGCGAAGTGATAGAGGTAGATATAGCGTATCAGAATGAGGAAAAGTGCGGCTTGTGGTTTGGAAAAGATCGATTGCGCGGCATTCAATGTCAAAGAGAGCGCGCAAATGCCCCAAAAAACGACGAAGGAAAGTCTTTGATGAACAGCCTCGTGAAGGTCAAAATATGCTGTTTCACAGTAACGGTTCGGTGGATGTATACCGTTTTCCCTTTAAATTGGATGGTTTGCAAACCAAATTGGATATATTGCATCCTAAGCAGAAAAGCAGCAATTTGTTAGCAAAAGACGAGGAGTAAGGCGATTAGATGATGTTCAGGCCACATTGTGGTCATGCCAATGCGATCGAATTGTGTAACCAACGGAAGCCACTTAATCATGAACCCCGGTCACTTCGATCAAAGGCGGTAACTAAGTTTCTCCCACCCCTGCGTAGTTTGTGTGCCAGTGCCGTATGCATAAACCTGTGTAGTTGTGCAAATGTTGGACTCCTGAATGGCGTAGTCTATTAGGACTGGACCAAATTTTACGTAACTTTGGAGGGTCATTATGAAGCGAGAGTTCTGTGAACAGATTGCGGTGCGGAATCACAATGTGGGTGGCGATTCCCAATGAAGTAAACCTTGGCCAATCAGATCACATGGACTGTAACTGATGAAGCGGATAGGCGGTGATTCATTTTGCAATTGTCTCTCGATAGGTCCTCATGTATTCTGGGCGGGTGTGTGAGTGAACCTATGCAGCTGCTCGACAAATGAAATAGTGTAGGTTATCATGAATCCATCAAACAGTCTGGCTCTTTGGCCTATTGCTGTAATTTATCATCAAAAAGTGAGGAGTAAGGCGACTAGGCGACGTTTAAACCATACTGTGGTTACGCGAATGTAACTGTCGATGAAACCCAAGCCACAGAGAATTCAGATAAACCCCGTACCAAGATGCAGCTACTTAGAAGAAGAAATCCGAAACGACACCAAGAAATGCCAAGCTCGCTTTTGAACGACGACGCATTAAGGAAGGATACAGTCCAAATATGTGAATCATTGAATTCCTACTTCGTCGCCTTGTTCAATGCTGCATCATTCACACTCTGTTCTCTTGGCACAAGAAGAACGGTAAAGTTATTCTGCAACATCCCCGTGAGTCTACAGGACATACAGATGAGCATTACTTCCATTAAACCGACTTTTCAACTGGGACCTGATGGTACTACCCAACAACTGCAAGGTTAGCTAGCGAAAACTTACCGCTTCTCATGTTGGACATTTTACAGTCGTTAAACAGTGGCTATTTCTGATCTCAGTGGAAAAATTCCATAATTATGTCAAAACACAAAGGCGGTGCAGGAGATGGGGTGTTAAATTATCGGCCGATAAACCATAGTTCCACTGCCGCTAAGGCCTTAGGAAGAATCGTCAAGAATCGGGAAACTCAATTACTGACAAGACAAAGCCTACATAGTAGTTCCCAACGCAGGCACACTAAAAAATTTCGCGTGTCACATACCAATTACAATGCTTTGAACATGTTACAGCAACATCCTACTGGATATGCAAGAAGCGTTTGACTGAGTATCGCACTAACCAATGTTAGCCATGCATGAATCTTAGGGGATCAGCAATCTTCAGCTGGTTAGACTCATACCTAAAAGACCGACCACAGAGAAGCCGACACTGCTCTGCTCCCAGAAATGTCACTAGTGGTGTCGTTCAGGACAATGCATTAGGCCCATTGCTTCTCCGCGTTTACACGAACGATATATGTGACTACATTAGACATAGGCGCTTATTTTTATTTGCGAACGATAACAAACTAATGTACTCATTTCCATCTGACCATTTGGAACTAGGCATAAAAAGTATAAATGAAGATCTATCATCCCTAAATAAATGAGCGAAAGCAGGTCTACGTGGTTTTCAGCAGACAAATCTCAGATACTTTGCCAAGGATGTAGTATACCAGAAAAATCCATCACTCCCACTGGTACCCTAACCCAACTGCGCACTCCGCTCTGGACATGGAAATTCAATACTCCAGCGGTTTCAACTTCTAAGAACACATCTTACATCAAGCAGCGAAAGCGAAACAACTAAAAAGCTACAACACTAGGTTATTTTCATTAACCAAACATGATTCGAATCATTCAAATTTATAGTGCGACTCATATCAGAGTACTGCACCATCACACATGGTTGGCGGCATCCGGTTTCGGATTTGCCTGTCACTGTAGCCAGCCACAGGACGCCTGCGCCTACAGAGGGACCATGGATGGCTTGAGCTGCACCACCCACAGCTCCAACCACACACCTCATATCCAGCGTAAACCCGAAGGAATAAGACCGGGAGGCATGTGGATGGGAGCCACGTTTCATCAAGGGAGCCGGCCCACACTCCTTCACAGACAAACACAAGCACGCTGTAGTTGGGAATCAAACACATACAAGGTAGTGGCTGGACCGTATTCCGCTCCACACTGAGTGCATGGAACCACTCTTCGAGCCTAGCACGACCACAAGGACCGTGCACCCCGTCCCCTCCAGCAACGACCAACTGTCTCCTGGAGCCAGTATGGACGAGGTAGTGGGTAATAGACAGGTAGGCACCTTGTCAAAATGCACATCAAGCGCAGCCACACCTGGGATGTCAAACAACAGCCAATCATTCGAAATGCCGATATCAATTAAAGTAAACGTATATGGCGACATAAATACTCGCTAAATAAGCATATAGAAGAAATTGGTTATAAATGAATCCGTGATAAGTACAAAATGTCCGAAAGTTATTTTAAAAAATACCACGCGATAAAATCACGCAAGTTTACCACAATTTGCGTAAGCGACGTGTGCAAGTCAGGAGAAGATTATCAAGTACGCAGAACAAACCAAATAACGTGTAGTGAATTATATCCACATTAAAAAGACCTAGTTTAAGTGTAAGTTGGTTTAGCCCAACTGCGGTGAAGAAGCATCATGAATGCAGCAACATCAGCCTCAGCAAGGGGCACACCATCACACATAGGCACCTATATAAGACAGATAGAATTCCTTCGGAAAACGTATAGCACTCACTTATCAAGATGAGCACGGGGCGCTCATCAACGATTACTTATGAGAAACGATGTTTCAGCTTAACTCACTCTGGCTTCGACAACTGAAAATCCATCCCCCTTTACTCTACAGTGTAATATAGTTGTGAGTTTTCACAACCAGTACAGCTGTCGCTTTACAAAATGACTCAACCTATACCACTCGTAATGGGAAATGTCTACTATTCTTACAGAACACCAAGCAAAATAGTCGTTTAAATTTCTTCCCAGTGAAATACGCCCACGTGTGAAATAAACAACCGTTGCAATTAGAGGCTAGCGAGAGCTTGTCATATAGATCTCATTTGAAAATTTCCATGCCAAAGGTGGTCAAGCTTTTCGGCCTTCATGGAATCCGGCCGGAAAGGCATATAAAACTAGCGTTCCAGTAATGCTACTTATATTTCACAAAACATTGCATCACTGATCCATATTGAATGCGAGTCCATAAATGAGATGTTGATGTAACACGTTGTACTGATGATCGCTTTACAAAGGAGGACGTATCTCGCCCGTATGGAAATATACATATTTATTTACCTCGTTAACCGTAGGTATGATCGGACGGAAAAATGGAGTGATAAAAACGCGAGTTAAGTCGCCTAGAGCTTGAGAGACATTAGGGGGCTACGAAACAAACAATTTCCTTCCAATTAGTAACTGAATGACAAACGTCGTCATAGACAGGAATAAGCTATAGAAGCGTTACTGTCAACCGGTCTGGCTCATGACCGAGGAACTAATAGAAAAATGATAGATGCAACAGACGCATTTACCAATCGAAGAAGATCAAGATGAATAGTTCAAAAACTATTTGTGCCTTGTCACTCACTTGTTGATGGGTGCTCAAGGCGTCCGCAGCGTCCGGAGTCGTCTGGGTTGTGTGGACAGGCAAGCACATGATTACTGGTGGTTGCACAGCTGGACAAGGTGCAGGTGGAATGAACGTATTCCCACCAGCGCCAATAGAGGTAGCCAAACTCAGGTTGGTTTGGCTGTTATGAAGCTGAAAACAAATAGAGAAACTGTATAGACCAATGAAAATAAAAAAAGTATACAAAATAGGACTGCCTGACAAAAGCTTTTGCCGTTACTTGGATAACCATGGGAGTTCACAAGTTCTGGGGGAAACAAGTTGATGAAAAATATAGCCAACAATTCAAGAGGGTAAGGTGATTCCGACATAAACGAATAAATACAGGAAATTGATCATCAGAAGAGTGTGAAAAATGAAATAAAAGCGTGCGTTCATATACAACAATGTAAACGACTAATTCACAAGCAGATCAGCGGTGTTGTAGGAGCTGAGCACAGTGGCTGAAAACACAGATATACGCAGAGGCCAATGCCACTCAGCTGCATTTTTAAAGTGGTACTGTAGAATATTCAGAATGAAAAAGGAGATGAGCGTGTTTCAAGCAGAAATCCATTGTATCGACGCGATAGGCCACTAAAGAGAGAACAAGCCAACCACAGTTTCACTCACGGAAAGTTCTCACACAACTATCGAGGTGAACAGCTACTTCACGGACGGGCATTGACTGCGACGGGTAACAGTTCTAATGGATTAGATATTCATGTGTCGACAAAGGGTGTGGTACGGGGGCTACAGTAAAGAGGGATGAGGGAAAAGTGGCTCACAAGTGAAACAAGACCATGCGTCTCAGCTGGGAGCGTTACTCGGTACCGTTACCCAGCTCACAGGGGAAAGACAAGTGTAAAACGTCGATACCCATCCAAAGGAAGTTTAGTGGCACTTCAATGCCTTATAGTGTGGAAACATGGGTTCAGTCACAAGGGATAACCGAGAAAACCCGTTTTCACCTCACAAGGACAGAAAGCCGCTTTATTCAGACCGAACTATGATGCAACGCAGGCAGATCCAATGATAATAATGATGCAGGTTTTTAAGATAAGCCTGTCTGAAAAAGGAAACAGTTTTGGTTTGAACAAAAGTACGGAAAATAGAGAAACAGGACCCTTGTGGCTGCCGACCTCTCCGGTTTCCGTGGGGGATTTTGTAACAGAAAGTGAAGAAGCCATAGTGGACCAACCTACTTATCATTAGGATAGGTGCACCAACAACGGCTGCGTGATTTCAAAGATCAATCCACCTATAGCAATACTGCATTCATGAGCTTGCAGCACTTTTGGTATCGAAAGGGGATATTTCCTGCACAGTGAGAGCCATTCTCCTCCACGGCAGTGCATCTTGGCCCATTCTACCTAATGATCCAAGAAGCCTAGGCGTTTGACGATCGTTTCCTACAGAGCAACGTTTGTGCTAGTTCTTACCAGCGTGTACGCAAGTGAATGCCAAATGATGATAAACAGGCTACGCCCATAAAGCGACAAAGGGGATTGGACGCACTACGTAGCCTTGGGCACGTGCAACCTATGATTGATCGCTGCTTTCTGGGATGCATACTTTGGTTGTCGAGTTCAAGATAGTGCAAAGCTTAGGAAAGTTAACCAATGACCCACCATTCGAGAAATGGGGCTACTAAAGGCGAAACTCGGTGTTGCTTGTCCGTCTCTCATTCCGGACTGGGGTGCATGCAAACCAAGCCAGTACATGAAATGTTTCTCCATTCTGCAAAAACCAATTCCAGGAAAAGACGGATCAACCAGTACGCATGTTTCCGGCTTTGTGTGAAAAATTATGTGCAAGCCCGCAAGTCCACCGATCAAACTCCTTAGGCACGCTATAATCTATAAAAACTGATCGCTTCTGGGAAAAATGGTTGATCATGAGAGCCTTTTACAACGAAGAGAATTCCCGAACGCAAGTATAGTGATGTTACAATCAAGTTGGTTATATTTCGAAATTGAAGATAGAGTCGTGGAATTCAATGGCCATCCACACATTAGATTTCGCTGACCAGAAAAGCCATAGCACTGTGGTGCGATCACCTACAGTAGCGAAGCTCAGTGTACATCGGTTTTACAGCTATCCGCCTACTCAAGAGCTTCAATACGCTACCACCCATTGGAATGTAAATCAAAGTTTCTTAGTGGTTTTCTATTAGTCGTAGTTGGGAATGTTTATGTAACGTCTAACGCAGCACTGTCAGCGATAAAAATGTTTGCAGATCACCTTGCCTCGGAATTGCAACCGAAGTTGGAATGTTCCCTCTGCATCAGCGCTGGTGGCTTCAATAGAGGTGACCCAGTCTTCATTAAAGTGGTGGGTCTAACCAACTTGGTAGAAGTTCCTACCAGACTCGAAGCACATATGGATTTAGTTTTTATTAACGAATATAACCTGTTTTCCGCAAAGAGACGTGCCGCGCTTGGCAATGTAGACCATCGTATCGTGAAGATATGTCCAAAGACGTATGTAGCAATGACAAGAAGACCATTTAGAAGTGTTAAGCGGCGACACTGTTCAACGGAAAACAATGCAAAGTTCAAATGGATGCTCCATTCAACCGACTACTCAAGTTTCGCCAATGATGCTTTGTCACCTCAGCGTGAACACCTCACAGAATTTAACAATTTATGCTTCAATCTTTAATGCCCCATTGAGACCATCCATGTTCGGATTAAAGGATTATCTTCTCCACCACTCAAGCAACTGCGTAGAGAAAAAGAACAGGATTACAAATAAAAGATAACAGCCGGTTTCAAATGACTGTCTGTGGCTATAAAAACCGGAATAAAAAGGTAAAATAGCCAATACATCGAAGTCGTTTTGGGAAACCACAGTTATGTGATCTGTGAAGGAGGTTGCAGTAACTCATCGGCAAAACTTCTAATAGCCAACTCCGTACTGTGGAAGTGAACAAGCTCAACGCAGAGTTTAACTCCTCATCATCAAACATTCACCCTACAGTCCTTCCCCATCACTGATACACCTGTCTGATTTGACCAAATCATTGTTTACAGGGAACTCACAAGGCTGAAGCCAAACAAGATTAACGGCACTGATTCCCAGTTGCCAATCGTTCGGAAAGGGTGCGAATGTCACCCTTGGCAGCGATTTTCAAGCGATGTTTAACGACTGCTACCATCGCTAACATCTGGAAAACAACAAGAATAACACCTGTGTTTAAGAAGGAGTTTCGGCCAATAGCGTGTACCTCCGTGCTGACGAAGGTGCTTGAAAAACTACTAATTCCCCGTATTCTTGCAAGCGATCACAAGGATGATGTCAAACAGTTTGTATCTAGGCCAGAGCGCTCGACACGAGATACTATTTCCTATCTTGTGCATTCTATCTGATCTGCCTAGCATAAAAAATGCAGGACTGTGCTGCTCCTGTTTCTCGATTACAATACTGTCTTTGGGAGTCTTGGTGGATCGTTATTACTGAATCATTCGTTCGAAAAGGACGTTCATCCTCCTGCGCACGTAATGCAATACGTGAATACGTTACAAATCGCATACACTTCACGCAGTTATGCGGTGGAAGGTCTTCCGCAATCCCAGTGGATTGTGCGGTCTTACAATGAGCTATCTTATCACCCTTTCTGCTTCACCTATCTGTTGAATGTCTACCAATCAGTTTCATCGAAGGTAAATACGTTGATGCGTTGTCCTAAAGTGTAGATCCCAGTAATTGATGAATCTTCAAAACTCCAACAAGGATTAGACGAACTATTGACTTGATAAAATTCCCGGTGCTTATTCCTTAACCACTCCAAGTGTTGTGATGTCATATTCTCTTTCCTCTGCTACCAAAGATTGCGTTATTTTGTTAATTATAAACAGTTCTCTTCCTACAGTCGTGAGTGACCAAAGCATCACTCGTTTATTCTCCGCAAAGTATCTCGGTGGTTTTCGTCTCACACGTTATCCTAGTCGACAGAAATTCTTGAAAGTGTTCGGAAAGTTAGAATGGCATTCTTCTACTCTCTCGGGCTTGAAAGGCTCTCCGTACCTCGTGCTCTAATCCTAGGTTTGTAAATGCATTTATTCTCCCCCATTGGCGTTACTGTCCCCATGTTATTTTCACTGGACTTCTGCAAAAAGATTATATTCTTCTTGTGTTCACTGAAATTTATTTGCTGATGCTCTGCAGTAAACAAGGAATTCATCGTTGATTTAATTGTTAGCAAGCATTCGGTCGTACGCTTTAAGTTTTCATACAAGACTCTAAACAACCTCTCTAGCCCTCCACATACCGTTCTAGCAAATTTAGCATCCACTTCTTAAGCGCGGAGGAAATTTAAATTTTCTTTTCACACGTACCGGCCGGTGGCCGAGTGGTCGGCACGTTTGCTTTCCAACCATAAGGTCACCGGTTCGAATCCGCGTAGGGGTGGGCGTCCTCGCGGTATACTCAGCCCGCGCGCGACTAGTGGTGGTCGCGCGGCAGCGAAGCGCCGTTACGGCGTATAAGCTGACACCTTCCTTTTTTTACCTCTACCTATCTCAACACTCCATCGTGCCCTATTTATTTCCCTTGTTAGTAAATCCAGAAGTATCGATGCAACGAAGGTGACATCGCTTGTCTGATTGAAAGAAACCATTTTTCTTGTCACTTCGCATTAATTTCCCACCAGCTCTAGGTTGTAGTATATCCACAATGTTCGTGTAAAGGACTGAAAATGCCGCCACACAGGTGCATAAAGCTTAAAATGAATTGCCAAACTGGAATTCCGGAAAGTGACCGTACAGCGTTAGTGCGAGTGCAACGGTCATTTACCACCACACTGTTATGTATTGACTCATTACCTTGAAACATAATCCACTATGGCTGCGAATAATGAAACATGCTGAATGTTTATTTTGATATCTTCAACAAAAAATACACCTCTGACATTCAACAGTAAAACTGAAAGAACCGGCAAGATATGAAATAATGAAAGATAATAATACAGTGACAGCGAAGAGCCCAAGAATGAAGCCGTCGGAGAACTGTTTCCTTAACCGATACTCAACATGTTGGACCACACTTGCAAATGGTTGGCGGCATCCGGTTTCGGATTTGCTTGCGGACGCCTGCGCCCACAGAGGGACCAGGGTGGCTTGCGCTGCACCACCCACAGCTCCAACCACACA